GACGGCAAGTTGACACTTCCCTTGTGTTCTAGTGTCGACCGGGGACAGGTCGACGGTTGACACTTTCCTTGTGTTCTAGTGTCAACCGGGGACAGGTCGACGGTTGACAGTTGACACTTCCCTTGTGTTCTAGTGTCGACCGGGGACAGGTCGACGGTTGACAGTTGACACTTCCCTTGTGTTCTAGTGTCGACCGGGGACAGGTCAAGATGCATCACACTTCCCTTGTGTTCTACAAAGGTCGACGGTTGACAGTTGACACTTCCCTTGTGTTCTAGTGTCAACTGGGGACACTAACCCTAATCACGGCTATAAATTTTAGACTAACCCTAATCACAGCCATTAATGCGAAACTAACCCTAATTACATCTATTAATGCGAAACTTACCCTAATCAAATTAATGCGAGACTAACCCTAATTACAGTTAAAATAACCCTAAACAGTATTAATGCGATAACCCTAATCACAGCTTTTTTTTGCAAGAATAACCTTAATCACAGCTATGTATACGAAACTAACCCTATTCACAGTTATGTATGTGTGACAAAAAAAATATCCCCGTCGACAGTAGAAATGATTAAGTGTCAACTGTCAACTGTCCCCAATCAAATGTTTAAGTTAAACATCAAAATATGTCAAGTCCCCGAAAAAAATGGTTGTGTCAAACAAATGTCCCCGGTCGAAGAGAAATGGTTGTGTCAACTGTTTTCCCCAATAGAATCACTACTTCTATATATACAAGCTTCCGCATAGGGACTACATACCCTTATATTGGAGTTGACCCGTGATTTTCGACTCGACATTCTGATATATCGACGATGTTTTACTAACAATAGATATATTTCCATTAAATGCCGACCCATTTTATCCAAAAGACACTATTGAGTCTTTCATTTTCATTTTTTTTAACCTTATCAGCTTTGTGGTGACTATGTCCTTATTTATTTTCGAGGCAGCCTTTTAAAACAATCTTTGGGTCATGTATACTATTTAACAAAGTTTTCGTCATTGCAACTTGATGTTTTCTCTTAAATGCCGTCTTTATATCTCTTACAAATTACAAAAATAAATCACGTATATCAGGAATCAAAGGAAAAACAAGAAATGTAATGTAGCATTTACCTACCTCTAGGTTATTCGTCTCATTACAAGAGTCAAGTTGTAATTAAAAAAAGTGATGAGATGTGAAGTAACCGAACGTTTGTCAAAAAATTCCATTGGAACAACACGAATTGGGAGCAAGCTAAACACGGACTATAAAACCGTCAGAGAAAGAATCGGGTGGAGTCATCTCCTGTCGATCCGCCACACTCGGCGTGAACCCCTTACCATGTTTGGGCAATGCCAAAAACCTGTTCAAACTATTCAGTATGAAAACTAAAAAGACCAAAAATCAATCACATTTATTTGAAAAAAAAACAATTTCAGATTTCTGTAAAAAAAAAAAAACAAGGATTATTTCAACACATTGCCTTGTATAAGGCGAGATATCCGTTGGTAAAAATCAAGAAAGTTGACTGGATCATCAACACGGCAATCTATCAGTGAAGAAATAATTACTGAACCCTTACTCTTTTTACCACTTACCAATTTGACTTTATGACTTCCAAAAATATTATGCTTTCCATTTACATTTACAGAATGCTTAATTTCAATTACGTGTCTTAGGTTTTATAGAACATTCTGGGAAATATGTTTCATAAATTTCCACCTGCTTTCATCTACATTTCAAATAGAGTTTTAGGAAGAGTAGGAGGGTCCAAAAGGCACCTAAGTCAAAGTTGTTTTTTTTTCCTTGTAAATTTTTCAATCTTATTTATAAAATCAACTTCAAATTAACATTCAACAATTTTTTTATCTTACACTGCAGACTTTTGATCTTCAAACAATATTATTTTGGTAGCAAGCAATTTAAGATAATACGTTACGTACATGTAATGTCAAAGAATATATAAATCTTGACATTTTAGTGGATATTTTTTTATCAATAAATATGGCACTTTATACAAAATCATCGACTGTATATAAATAATAATAACGTGCACTGTAATATTGTGTGGAGTTAGCTTACAGCTCTCAACAAAGAGAAAAATTCCAATAATCATTTTTGATAGAGTCTGACCTCTTTTCTTGATTGAAATAAAGATTTGCTGCCTGTGACAACTACCTCTGTTCGAATTTATATATATTTATAAATAATGTCATTAGTCTGACATACAACATTTATATAATTTTTTCTCTCAATGCAATCTTTATAAAACATTCTTTTTTGCACATAGTTTCATCTAAAGCTCAAGGGCTATTCGAACGCCCATTATAAATGAATGGTAAAGAATCAGTAAACTAAAAAGTAAAAGCTACATTAAAGCTGCTGTAAAACTTGTTAAAAATCCAAATTTAATTCTTCGAATAACTTTTAAATAAACATTATATAGAAAATTATTTTCAGTGATAAACTTTTATATAAGGAATATGGTATGATAAAAATTTACACAAACAATTTGAAAGAGAAATATTAATTTTGCCAAATTTCAACAAAGGATATTTGATGTTGTATGATTGACTTTAAGACACATAGCAAATTTGATAGACATCATATCGTAAGTTTACACTGTTTTTAAGAAACGCTTGACAGTAATTAAGCTTGCTTATATGGACACCCTGTATTTTGAACAATGTCTCCCGACAGCGTGCAAACCATTATTTTAAAATATCAGGACTTTGTTATTATAACCATATTGGATGAATCTATTGCTTAAAACCATTAAAACAAAATTTATCATAAAATGTACTCATTGCTCACAAAGGTAGCCTCAAAAACAGATTTATATGCAATTTTCTTAAATATTAGGCTTTGTTCATTCCATGGAGGAGCCATTTAATATCTGGAGGTGTGTAGAAAGCATTTTTTTCAAAGAAATCTTTATGAAACCATTCAAATACATTACATTGAATTTCTACAATCTTCATTATGACATAAAGAAAGTTAATTTTTTCACATAAACAATATTTGCATTTACCTTCACTGTCAAAACTAAAAAAACTTTTAAATCCTAAAGTGTCCATGGACATCATTGCTGATGCTGCTTTTCTAAAAGTAGGGTTATACCCAAAAATTGTTATAAAAACCCCCCCCCCCATTGGAAAAAAATGTTACGGACATGTGTTTGAATAAAAAAGATATAAGTAAAATCATGAAGATGTCATTGAAAAGCGTCGTTTGCTTCTTTCTGAGCCCCAATGACATTATTTATTGAACGCCCCTCGTATATTTATAAATGCAGTCTTCGAATTTATATAATTTTTAAATGCAAAGCTAAAAAACTTCTTTTACCACTGAATGAAATTTACAAAAAGACTTTCACAAGAATCTCTATAACACATATATGCCATTATTTCACTTTTTTAAAGGAATATATTGATATGTTTACACAAACAATTTGAAAGAGAAATATTTTTGTAAAATACTACGACAATTTCTTTTGGTCTATAATTTTTTGTAAAACGGTATGGCTTATATGGCCATCTCTTATTTGCAACTCCCCTGCAAACCATGGACTTTGTCATTATAAAATAATGATATTTTCACAGATTGTTTGTTTATCAATGGCTTCTATCTCCATGGAGGAGCCATCTGTATAGCCTGCATTTATATCTAGAATCTTTCTGAAACCATTCAAATACATTATAGGATCAATCTTCATTATGACATAAAGTAAGGAAAACATAAACTTTTTTATTACATGTATAAACATATTGGAGGCTATGGGTATCATTTAGTGAACTCATTCCTCACAGTACCTCTAGTTTTAATTTACTGTTTCAAATCGTCTGTTCGGCCCTGGGTTACCCATCTCTTATCCACAGCTCTTCTTTTACCACTGAATAAAATTTAACGAGACTTTCACAGAATCTCTATAACACATAGTGCCATTGTGCACCTCCTTTTGATCGGACATATATTTTGGGTTTCTGGGTTTCCCAGAGCATAACATGAACACGACCATTCTTTCTATAATATTGAAGAGTACCCATCTCTTATTTGCAACTCCTCCTATACAACTGAATAAAATAATGATATTTTCACAGATTGTTTGTTACATAATGCCATTGTGCACCTGCAATTTTACTTTTTGATCTCATACTTATTCCGGGTCTCTCAGAGCAAAACATGGACTTTTTTATTACATGTATAAACATATTGGAGGCTATGGGTATCATTTAGTGAACTCATTCCTCACAGTACCTCTAATTTTAATTTACTGTTTCAAATCATTTAGAGAACTCAACAGATTCTCTATCAGGGATAGAAATTTGGCGATTGACATACATGCTATGCTATCGTCCACATAAAATTTGACCTTGAAGTTCCCCAAATAACCTTGGGTCATGGGCAATCTTTGTGTAAAATGACAACCTACCAAGTTTATCCATAAGAAAGATATCGACTGTATTTAGGAATTTTTTCTTCCAGTGACCTGGAGCTTCCCCAAATGACCTTGGGTCAAGGTCATGACACACCCCTGGGTCATAGGCAATCTTTGTGTGAAATGAGAACCTACCAAGTTTATTCATAATAAAGATATGGACCGGACACGAATTATGAAATTTTTCTTCCAGTGACCATGAAGTTCCCCAAATGACCTTGGGTCAAGGTCATGACACACCCTTGGGTCATGGGCAATTTTTGTGTGAAATGAGAACCTACCAAGTTTATTCATAAGAAAGATATGGACCGGACACGAATTATGAAATTTTTCTTCCAGTGACCTTGAAGTTCCCCAAATGACCTTGGGTCATGGTCACTACACACCTTTAGGTCATGGGCAATCTTTGTGAGGAGTATTAGATTTTAATGTCCCTCTGTAAGAAAGATATTGACTGGACACGTTTGCACAGCTAGATGGACGGACGGACAGCTAGACAGACGGACAGACGGACAAAGTGATTCCTATATACCCCCCCAAACTTCGTTTGCGGGAGGTATAATAAAATAAAAGATCTTTATTTCTTTTATTCATAATTTTAAATTATTAAATACATGTAAATGACACTGTCCAAATTTTCTTCATCTGAAAAGGATTTCTTATTTCCAGTTTGAAGATATATCATCTGTGGGTCACATCATAATGACAAGTTCAATCAATTCCCTTATTTTCCTTTTTTCTTGTGAAGATTTGGAGCAGAAACCTTTACTTTCCCTGGTATATTTCGACTTGTATCAGCATCCTGCAGGAGTAAAAAAGGTGGATCAACAGTTCCTTATCAAAATCAACTTTACTTACAAGGAATAGTCCATTGTGTTGTAATAAATAAAAGTGCCACATTTACAACAAAAGTAGTCCAATGCTGGATTAGACAAGATTCTGGATTTGACAACATTTAAATAGACTTGAAGTTTACTTCAAATATCAAAATACTGGAACACAACCTTAGGATTAAACAAGTTTTACTGTATATAAAATGTGTCTTTTGATTTTATAGCCACCATTAATTTATCTTACATAGAGTAGAGACCATTTAAAACAAATATTAGCTTTCTGAACAAGTATAAAAACTGCCAAGCAATATAGTTCACGTAAATAACAATACATGTACTAACCTTTAAAATGCGAATGAGATCTTTTTCTCTGGAGGATGTTGACTTTTCATGTGAGAACATGTTGAGGGCAAGTTTGGCAGCTAGAATTACAAACAACAGTGATCTCTGAGTAAAAGCATCATCATCTCAGTATTATTCAATATAAAGAAATTAATGAAAACATTATATATCCCATTAGAATATGAATTATACAAAAGTTACTAACCTTTTCCTCGTTTTGTACTTCCAGGTGTAAGTTTCACTTTGAATCTATAGAAAAATTATTAGAATCATGAAAATGCAAAAAAAAACCCTCATTACATATACATATTTTACCACAGTAGATATGTGTCTTTTTCATATAAATTCAAAGAATGGCATATTCAGCCCATCCATAAAATGTGGGCATTTGGAAAGCAATTAGTAAGCATCTATAAATAAATAAAATAGGTCCTGTACATCATGTTAATATCTTTACCTGTACATTCCCAAACCTTTTATCCTCTACTTTAGCTATTTGGGCATGATTTAAACAAAACACTAGTATAAAAATCACATTCTCTCTTAACTTCTCTTACTGAAAATTGGAATGACTTCTTAAATTCATTTATACTCATGAATACTTTTTAAAGTTTGAATTAATTTACAGCAGGAAAATCTTTTGAAAGCTTTAGATAAATATTCAGAGTAAATGTGAAACACTCCGAAGAGCTTTGAGTCTCCAGTGCCAAAAAAACTAAGAAATGTTCAGTTTTGCTCTCAGGAAAGAGTAAAGGAAAAGCCTTGATATCAGGTGAGCTAAGTATACTGTAAGAAATATAAAATTAATAATATTAGTTTTCTTCTGACTGATTCAAAAAATTGAAAATTTTGACAAGGTTGTAATATGGATCTTGTTAATATTAAAGTTTTTTGTGTACAAAGTGAAAATTAAAATCACACCAAACTTTACTTGAAGTGATATTTTTTGAAAGTTTTATGTATTTAAAACATGTTGACACTTATTGTTAAAAAAAACCAAGAAAGTCTTTTATTTGTCAGTTTGTTGATGCAAGAGATGGGGTGACACGTACTTGTAATTCAGCATGGTGCTATATGGAGCACACACAGGAACAGCATAGAGAAGCTCATCCTCTATAACAGGGCACCCTGTCAGGGAATCCAGCATCATCACATCCTGAAACATACAGGCATGTTACAATGGGTAGGCATACTTTAAAAGATACCCAATTAACACTAAAGTTAATCTTGAAGCAACATAAAAATATCTTCAAATTTATATATTCTAGCTTGTGTACTAATTTGTCAATATATGAATGTGTATGTACAAGACACAAGACATCTGAGATGTGGAAAAAATGTTATGCTATTGAGAAGTATGTATAATCATCAGTTCTTTTAAAACATACTAAGTAATATCCATTATTTATCATTAAGTGATAAGTAAAACACCAATCTATATAAGCTGGCTTACGTCTGGTTTATTGTCCTCTTCCTGTCTCTCATCATCTGAGTCGGGCTTTTCCTGTATAAAAATATTATCAATTATAAATCTACAATTTTTCCCTTGATATAACTGTTCCTCTTTACTAAACACAATACTGAAAGGTAAGCATTTAACAATTACATAACACAAACTTTATATCTTGTTACCTGTTTAGCCGGGTTGACTTCATGTTTCTCAGTTTCCATAGCTGTTGAATCTGATAGTAAAAAAAAATCATTATAAATACCAAATATTTATTATATTTACTATATAACATCTAGTAAAGAGAATAAATTGATAACAATTTGTTTAAATTATATTAAATAATCTAAGCTAATTTAAAACACATGTTTATATCAAGTTACTGAATAAAATACATGTAGATTTCTAAAACATTTATATGTGTATCATCAGAACAAAATCTCTTCCCCTGACCCATTCTATAATGAGAAACCACTCAAAGTACAATTATTCTTCATACCTTCGATGATGATTTCAGCTGTTGGCTTCAGTATGATGTCCACAGACTTGGTTTGACCTTTACCCTTTTGTTGCTGCAGCTGTTGCTTAGCACTGACTGGTCTCGAGTTCTGGGGCGGGGTTTGTCCCTTCTTGCCTTTCTTCTTTTTGTCTTCTTTTTTAGAACCTGCTGACTGTAGAAGCAAAAGAAATCCTTTAATGACAACAAGAAAATTTGTCTTTGAGTCACAAAATTATAATGAAGTCACAAGGGTTTTCTTTCCAAATTACTCTAACTCTTTCTTTCTCTCATGTAAATACTTAATAGGGGGGAATCAAAACAAAAATTGCATCTACAGGAATATACTTCTTTTACAATATCCACTTCTATCAATATTCAGAAGTTAAGAGTAAAGAAATTCTTACAGCTAAAATTTCCATCCTTAATTGTCTCTCTTCTTCATCTTGATCTCCATATTTTTCTTTTATCTTTTTCATTTTACTCTGAAAGTAGAACAACAATAAAGAATTTATCACTGCTTGTTACATAAACAAACAAAAGACAAGACAAGAAAGTGAAAAAAATGGCTAATCATCTATATACATTGTATGTGTGTATATGAGACCATGAGATAGAAAATTAACTAAAAACACATTCAACATACATGATTTAGAACTTCTAATGAAACAAATACTCTGTTTGGAGATTTTCTTAATTAACATATGTGCTAAATTTTTGTTCATTTTATGTACCAGAATTTATCTAAAAATCTAAAAATGTAATGTTGCTTGCATAAAAGTTCAAATGAAATCCACTTCAATACCTGGCCCAAAGATCACGAAATAGACTTTCTTTTAAGTCAAAATTTCAATCATCTATAAAATGTTGCTTGTTAAAAGAAACTCTTAATTTACATATGGCAGCGTATTGATTATACAAAATTGGAAAGCATTTTCATTTTGGACTGTTTAAATTCTATATAATTTCAGTGCCTTATGCATTTTTTTTTTACTTAAGCTTAAGATGATTCATTATACATGTACCTAGGCCTGTTCTTCCATAAGAATTAAACATTAAAATAAGTCTGCTATCTTACTCTTTGTCCTCTCTTGGGCTGTATCTGGAGGAATTTTTCAGAGGAATCCTCTTCTTGAGGCTCTGTCCTTGGTCTGGCGTCTTCTGGATTTGGATTCTGTGTTGGCTGGTTCTCTTTCATATCCTCACCTGGTACCTTGCCCTTTCTTGGATTTAACCAGGATACACTATCTTCTTCATCATCGTGATCCTCTTTCTGTTGGTTTTGGGCTTTTTTAGCTTTCTTTATTTCCCTAAATCAACAACTCATCAAATCAAATGATGATTTATATAATTGACAAGAGGCCCATGGCCCCAATGATAATATGAGTATAAAACAACATCCAATACTGTAAAAAAAAATCTTCAGTACAAAATTAAACGATAGATGAAGATACATTCAGGGTTGCAAATAACATTTAAACCTTAGGGGCCATGTGGGCCCCCAACTTCACAAATTTTACTAGCCAACATTGATATTATGGGGCCCACAATTTTTTTTTCACTTTTTAAAAAAATCTTTTAATATTAAAACATTAGAAAAAAAAACTTTATTGTGTCATAGTATTTCATTATTTATTTTCAAATTTTTCCTGCAGACTTTGACACTACTAAATGTATGAAATTCCATGTTATCATTCAATTCAAATTTGCTTCTTTTGATTTCAGTTGTTTCGGGGCATGTGTTTTGAATTAGGCTTAAAAAAATGTTTGATTCCATAAAAACCAAGGGTTGGTATGTCAGGTTTTTTTGGTTTATAAATGATAGGGCCAAACATCCCTGGACTGAATTAACCAAGTGTTATAATTACAGTGGACACCCAACATGGCTGCCTAGCGGCAGAAAACGAACTTCAAAAAGTTGTTGGGGGAATTCTTGTTACAATAATGATTACTCTTTAAATTTAAGGTAAATGTTGACTAGGTTGACATATTTTATATCTCAAATAAAGCTACAATTAATATTTGTTGAAAAATGGAATCAGCTGAATGATCAAACACAGAAAAATCCGTCTGGGATATGAAAACGAAAGTACATAGAATAGTAGAAACAAACTCGATCTGATTCTGGAAAAGGTTCTATAAATTCTTACTCGCCATGTAAGCGATAACATTCTCAAAAGCTGGTCGCCCACTGGAAAATTTACTCACATTTGCGAGTGGGCGAGTGGTTATTTGCAACCCTGACATTGGATGTTTCCAAAAAGCAAGTCATAGGATGATGAGAAATTACCTAAAGAGTTAATGAAGTACTCAGTAACAAATCGTAAAGAAACAGTTTTGTTCTTTGAAAAACATTAAATGTTCTTATATACAGAATGTTTTTGTCTTTATTTTTATTAATTTGTAAATTACAAGTCTGCCTGACCATTTATAAATTCTGAACCACAATTTTTGTATTATATGTTCAATTTTTTATTTAATTCTTTTATTCAACTGAACTATCAATTTTTAAACTTGATTTGCAGAAACTGATTATTTTAAGTGAATAACATAGCAACTGAGTCACTTAAGTGATCTAAAAATATTTTTTTTTCTTTCATTATGTTAGAGTTCAAAGATAAAACTGATAACTTACCTCCTTTGTTTAGCAGAAAGCTTTGCACCTCTACCTCCATTCTAAAATTGTCACAAACATGTTTTAAACATGTCAAAAACATGTCACTAAAAATGTTTTAGTCATATATATGTAGTGTTCCTTTCTTAAATGTCATTCGTCTACATTATTTCATTAATTGAATTCTTTTATCACTTTCAAGCTATATGTACACACATGTAATATAAACAAATTACAGATAAATAGGAACCTAACAAGCCATCATTTGTATACATACTCGTGTATTACATTTTACTTGTACCTTTCCATCTTTGTCTACTGCAGCTGTGTCTTTTATCTGCGGAGCCTCTACACTACCACTTGTACTGCTCCTCTCTCGCTGAAGTTCAAACCTGTAATACATAAACGTAAATGATTTTGTATGAAACAACAAAACAAGTCCTGTTTTACAGGTAAGTATAACTGGAGAAAGGATAAAATATATCTTTAAAAAATTCATCACATACTCAGACTTGCAGTTTGATTATTACTGCACAACTTTCTTTTAAAACATACTCATTTGCAATTATATGTGTCTAGAAAAGAGTGCAAAAAATGTATATACAGTGAAACCTGTCTTATCCGACAAGCCATGGGAAATTAAATTTATGTCGGATTAAACAGTGTGTCGGATTACTCAGTGTTGGCTATTTCTGTCACATTGTCAAGTATGGCATTAGATCCAACATTATCAGTAAAAGGTACATGGTTGGTCGTGGCCTCCATAATTATTTCATATGAAAGATTTTTGCATGAAGATGTGATTTTATTTCAATAAATAATTAAATGACGTGGTACATTTCTATTTACAGTTTCAGACAATAAACAATGCAACGTATAGTTACAGGAGGTTTAGTGAAAAAAAGTGTCAATTGTTGTCTGGTTGTTTTTTTTTTGTTAAGTCGCTGTTTCATTAAAGTCTCTTCTGTCAGAGTTGCAAGATACTTTTGTTGGTGACCTGTCTTTCGGTGAGTTGTCTGGCACCGGAATGCTTTCGAAATATTGGGCGTCCTTAGCAATTGCAAATAAAACTGTACATTATCCTCCTTGAATTATAGGTGGTGGCGCATGACACGTTTAAGTTCATGACTTTTCGTTCCTCCAATTTTAGAGAGTGTCAACGTAATTTCGACCATGTATACCTTGCTATTTTCATTAAATTTTATAGATATACTGGCCGATATGGGTCGTGGGATTTATCCACGCTTAGAAAAGAGCTACGTAAACGAAATGCTCGCATACTTGCGGAACTTCTTAACCATAATTTTCTCTGTTGAACACAGAGTCGTGATTAAGATGTTATCGGTACTTGATATTCTTTGTTATTTCAAAAAAAGTTCTCCAAAAGCATATTTTATGTGTCGTTAGTGAGATTAATTACAATTTAAACTGTCTACATTTTTTAATGCAATTATTGTCAATCTGTATGTGCTATTTACGTTTTTTTTAATTTGAATTGTGTACATAAACAAAACACCTACAAACTTCAGCATGAATCACTGACTACATTCTCAGATGACCAATTGACCAAACGGGACTTTAAATGTATATACATAACACAGGTGAAACTGCAATGCAATTAATAGGCTGTGTTTAATTAAATATTTTTCTATATAAGTTATATAAAGATTTTTTTGGGTATAATGATTTGCAAATACAGTTGTGTACATGTATAGTCAATTAAATATACAAATACATGTACATAACAGTGTAAAATACAATATTGACTTTTCCTGTAGGTTAATAGTAATCCTGTAGGTGACAGTGTTTCACTGTATAAACTGGTTACTTACTTGTCTCCCTTCACATGCTGTAATGATATTGATGTATCTGGAAACAAACTCTCTGTCTCCTCTTCAACTTTCACTTCCGTTTTAATTTCATTATCATCACTATCACCTGTTCTACTTTCACTTTTTTCACTTGTCTCTTTACTGTCATCTGCATTATCATTGCTAACTGTGCTTTTAATTTCACCACAGTCATTCCTTTGTTTTCCACTGTCTTCACCATTTTCACTGCTATTGTCATTCTGGTTATTTTCCTCCCCCTCACTTTCACTGTCTGAGTCCAGACTTAAGCTGTTCATGTCGGCAGTAAGATCACTCTCTGTTGCTATTGAATCTGCTACAGACATGGAATCATCCTCTGTTAGATGAACCTTTCTCTCTCCTTTATGTCTCTCAATACTACCCTCCTCTAACTGTTGTCAAAGTAAGAAAACATTCTTAATAGGCTATATTTATTAACTGTACTTAATCTTGTAATGCAGAAATTTAAAATCAAGAAAAAGAAGTAATACAAAGGAAATACAAGAAGCAAACATTGACACATCCTTCTTGAATTTATATTTTTATAACCCCTTCATTTTTTATGTAACCGAGTATGTGAAAAGATTCAGTATAGTCAAGCCTTGCTAGCTCAAACATAAAGGTACCAAGATAAAAAATTGAGATATTCAAAAGTTCTAAAAATCGAGGGTGAAAAACATAAAGAAGGGGTTGGGACTTCTGAATCAATTTGACATATTCATTGTATTGGAGATATTGATGATAAAGATACCAAAGGTTAACTGTATAATGTTGTAAAATTTCATACCTTGAACATTAATCCAAATCCATACACAAGGTGGGTAGGTGGAAGGTAGTTTTTCTTTCCTGTTGGTTAAACAGAATGAAATATCTAATACATGTAAAAAGTTAAAAACTGAAGAGGCTTTTTTTAATTATTACAGATTACATTTCCTCTACATAAACAATTATCCTTCCTTCTTAATCTCAAAGTTACCTACCCCTAACCATAAAGCTTCCTGTTGTGAGGTATTCACCAGATGGCGCTGTTTTGGATACTTGATCATGATAAACCCACCAGGCACTAGTGACAACCTTGGCATCCCAGGCTACACTGTTACAAATAGCCATGGTTCCTGCTTCATTCAGACTCTTCGGTGGAACTGGTTCACCTTTGTTTAAGAAAATTTATAATATTAAATTTTTTAAAATTTTTAAAGTGATTTTCATGTTTGATAAAGTATACTGTACATGTGTTCAAAACTGGAGACATTTTTGTTTGACTTTTTAATCTAACCTGATACATTTTTTCCCACACTAACCTGATGGATTTTTGAGGACACAACTACTTGCTCCATGGAGATCAGCATGAATGTACAAGTCCCCTGTTAAAGAAGCAACCAATAATGTACATGTAAGTTTAACAATATTTCTCTCATGTTTATATTAAAATAACTGTTCTTGCATGTGTTTTGCATACTTTATTCTTTAAACTCTCTCCTTTAAGTTAACAATAAAATTACATGTTCTCAATTTAACATTTCCTGACAAATGTCAGTGATCTATACAGAGTTGTAAACACACCTGGTCTGAGGTATCTTTTTACAATCATTTCATTCTGCTGCTGGTCACGTCCACCAATTACCAGATAGTTCTCAGACGTAATGAACCATAGAAACTTTTCAAACCTAGAAACCATTATCATTGAAAATTACTTTTTGAATTCAAATTTCTATCCATCACAAGAAATGCTGAAAATCTAGACATGTTTCAATAAAATTTCAAAACTATTGACAGTGATATTCCCCAATTCAACCTACATGTAAGTGTAAATAATTCTGAATATCCTAAAACTGTACCTACCAGTAGGCTTTCCTGGTTTTATTGATGGTTGCAGCTGTTGCTACTTCTTTGAGTGTTTCCTTAGTTTTCCTCTCAGCTGATTTCAAAGCCTGATTTATTAAAGTGAATTTGTAAATTTTACAAGTAAACTTTCAAGTCCACCTTCTTTTAATTTTCTAAGTCGTTAAGTCAAACATTACAAGGTTTTCCACATTAAATGTTAGACTTATAAGAAATGCAACATCTCTAACTGAATGCAACTTATCAGTATAGGGTATAGAAGTACTGAGAAAGAAAACTTGATCACAAAACTTTACATTGAAGACGGACGGAATAGCATAAGCTTCCCCTGACTTAGTCAAGTTTAACTATTTATATATATTTAAGTTCATCATCATAACTTAAAACAATGAAGATCACTTTATTTTTTTTTTTAGAAAAGCTATGCTGTTGACATATAAACTAGAATTTTTATAATATACTGACTTTTGCAGATGCATCTATTGTTTTTTGTTCTTTCTTTGCTGCAGATTTTTTCTTTTCAAAATACCTGTAAAAAAGAAATGATTCAATCATTACATAAAATTATTAACTAATTTTTTTTAACTGGAAATGAAAAAATAAAAATATTTGAAATTTCAAATCATTTTTCATAAAACATTATGTATCAATTTCATCGCATATTCAAACCACACATAACAGATGCTTAATGCAATGTTAGGACATCACCAAAATAGACTTTATCCTTATTGTTTGAATTAAGTAAAAATTAAATCTCTGTCAATAGATTTATTATATGTTAAAATGTTATAAAGGATACAGAGATACATGTATTACATTCCTCCCCACCAACCTACAGGAAGTGTTCTCTAAAGAGGCTAATAAACTGCCTCAGACTTACTTCCTGGAGTTTCCATAAGCACTCATTGATATGTCTATGTCCACCTTAGTTGGTTTCAGTATATCTTCATCATCATCATCGAATTCATCATCACTGTATCTGTATGGGTCCCTATCATATTCAATGTCATTTAAGTTCTCTATACCGTAAACTTTACAAGTTGAGCAGAAAATCTTGAATGTACACTTCACTTGCTGCAAAGTTTACTATAGAATATTTACATATATGTCAAAACATTAAGGCAACACATGAAATGATCAGAAATGCAGACTTAAGCCTTTAATTTGGTTCAAAAAAGCAAAAGGTAAACAGACACCTTAGAAGGAGGGTGATGATGTTGGATTCTAGCTTCAGCCCAGTGATACATGAAGCCACTGGATCCCCCTGTAACTGAGCTTCCTTGACCAGGTTCTGTATCTCTGTCCAATCAATCTGATTGGCTAATGCACTCCTAACAATCAGCAGAGCCTGGTCTACCTAAAAGTAGGTGCAATTCATAAAAAAAATGTCCTTTTTAAAGATAATTTGTACTGTACTAAAATTGACTTTTAATACAGTTTTTTAACAATTTTTTTTTAAATGTTAACATTTCAATAATGCTATGTAAAGAATTTATCAGAAAACTAATGTCTCACTTTCAAATACTCAAGTTTTCTAGAAAAGTTAATTACAAAATTAAATTTGGAGTATTCATTTTAAACAACAGAACAAATAACTTTTAAAGAACCATGTCACTTTCAGCATTATTACTTCTTTTTTCACAACTACACTTCAGAGATGAGAAAAGTCAGACAATGGGTGCATTTTAAATCTTTGTATAGTAAAACTATAATGTACTAGTGCCAGATTTATTCTCCGTCTAGGAAAACTTAACTTACTAGTCCCAGATTTAGTTCTATTAAGCGACCCTTGTTGATGTCAGTACCCTGCTCTTTTTGCAATCCTTCTATTCTCTTCTCATGATCTTTCTTAATATTTTCCAGTTTTTTAAGAGCTGATTTCTCCTACAAATCAAGTAAGAAATATTAGGAATTTAATGCATATTTTAAAAGAGAATTCAACCATACTTGCCAAAATATTAAATTCATTGATGAAATTTACATGTATATTGGACATTAAAGGTTTCAATAGATCTAATCAATATTGACATGACTTAAGTGTGCATTTATTCAACATATGACAGCAAAATAAATGACCCTGAAGCTTAACAAATGAAATGCTCCATATATACAATACAATACCTGTTGCAGAACTCTCATGTCTAATTTCTGACTCTCTAACTGAGAGAAGAATTCATCCACAGATTTGTTAAAGTTATCAAACATACAGTGAGGCTTGTTTTCAAACTGCTTAAACAACATTGGATGAAACTCTTCATAACTGTAAATAAATTAAAGAAAAATACTGAAGCAATTTTAATTCAATCTTTTAATCAAGTAAGGCTCTTAAATTAAATGTTTTGATGGTAGACGTACGTTAAGAGTTCTGCTTGTTCTCCTTCTTTGACTGCCGCTCTCTTTTCTTTCTTTTGAATAATGACTCCCTAAAAGGTAGGACAATATATAATTCCTTCTGACAGGGGTAAAAGATTATTGGTTACCTTTTTAAATTCTTCAGCAGATAATTTAATACCTAATACACATGAAAAATACTTGTACATGTATAAACATTACATGCAGTCTCCTATTCTGCTCTTTCACTTACCTGGCAAGGCTGTGATGATAATGATTCCAATACAGATTCAGCCATTTCTATTGCACTCTTCAGTTTATCCATATCTAAATGTTATAAAATGTATTTTGGGTTCAATAATGGGAAAATTAAGAGATAATTTTTTTTTATTTTAAAATACTTAATTTATCACAATTATCAATACAAGAAAGAACAGTGCACAAGTAATGAATTACTCTGGGCTCTTGGCTCATACATTCACCTCCGTGTATGGCTTGCAAATATCACAGTGATGAAAAACTGTGCATTTGTTTTAATTCGATCACGATAATAAAATACTTGAAGAAATGTTTTATTTCCCCTTTAAGGTAGCCTTTTACCAAAAAGATCAAGAACCTTTTTGTTTAATCTATTATTTACATTTGCTATGTTTTTCTACTAAGCCAACTGTGAAATTGATTTGAATACTATTTTTGGGTAAACAGTATACTCATGCATAGAAATATACATGGTGCAACTCGTGCTAATGTGACATCACAATGAGGCTACCGAGACGTTGGTAAAAACATAACGATATAGGGCAGCGAGAAATATAAACATTCAATGAGGATATTTTTTGTGCTTTTAACACGTAAAATGTAAATATAAGGAATGTTTCTAAGTTTAGTGTGAGTTATCGGTTTGTAAATCACAAAAGACTTGCACGTAAGCATATTTTTCATGAAGCGCTAGTGTGCTTCATGAAATATGCCTATGTGACAAGTCTGTGTGATTTACACAACAATAACTCACACTAAACTTAAAAACATTCCTTAAATAATTCTTTTGAATATAATGTTTTTATGTCAAAAATCTTGATGTGAGCCCATTAAGAGGGCAGAGGTGTTTGAGAGATGAACAAATAACAATTATGCAAGGGTTTTAATATACTTACCCTCTGTGATACTGAAACCTTTGGCCACCTTAACATTTTCTGGAAATCCAACACACTGCAGACAGTGTTCAGTCAATGCAGGCCCATAATCTAAAGTAAACACATACATGTACAAGTAAGTGAAATGTAGACGTACACCAGGCTTGATGCAGGGGTAAATAACTGATGTCACAAATGGCAATGCATAGTTTCTATATCTACATGAAAAATAAATTCATTATCCAGGTTCTATCAGTGGTGTATGGGTATTTACCCCAGGTTGTATTCATAACACCCTATGGCCTTCTGCCTCAGGGTTTATGGAATAATAAAACCTGGGGTCAATCACTACCTGTTTTGTTTTAAGCATGCTTTCTTTATAAGCCTGCTTGTTGTGTCTGAATTTTACTGAATGTTAGTGACAGATAAAAGAATAAACATGCATCCATAGTTATAAATTATTCAGTTTCTAATAAATGTTTATGTAAGCATATCATAGGTATACGGTGAAATCACAAATTTGCGTGGGGGTTTAATTTTCATTATTTTCGAGGTATGGAGAGACCCACAAATTAATGACGACAAGAAATGTAAAATTCCATATGCATTACTCACTAAACATTCTCCACCGACAAAATCAAATCCCCACAAACCAATATTTTTTCCTCAAACCTCAAAAATTTGACCCTACGAATATATGTGATTTTACAGTAGTAAAAGCCCCATACAAACCTATATGTGGAAGAAGAACTTTCTTCAAAACTTCTCCAACTTTGGCACCCAAAATAACTTCCCTTAACCTTAGAAAAAATTCAGAAAATATACTACATACAAGTCATTCACTATGCTAGAAATCTTAATTCTTATCACCAAAACATATTCTAAGTCCAAGTAAAAATTGTAGTAGTAATGAATCCAGAAAATGCACGTGTAAACATGATAAATCACGGAAAATTGTTATTTTACAATAGTCATCTTCGAAGATATTTTAAAACTACCACAACTATCTCAGCTATTTTTACTTTATGAATTCTATAGGAAATAATGCACGTCTCACTTTTCATCTGATGGTATGGAATGCTGCTTAGCAGCACTGATTGGGTAGGTTTCCCTCACAGCAAACTTAACATCCTGACAGGTGTCAGTACGAGGTCTCAGAATATTTAAAATGGTGTACTCAAAATCTGTCAGCACTACATTTCCCTAAAAATAAATTAATGTTTTTGTGTGACATAATGCACAATACATCTCTTCCTTTGCAAAGGCAACTGACATTATTTATTTTCTTTTTAATAAAAAAATATATACCCCCTACAAATTATACATATAAAGAACATGTTCTTTATATTGGTAGGGGGTAATTTTTTTTTATTAAAAGAAAAATAAATAACATCATACATCACTCTGTGTTCCATTGGTCTTAAACAGCTCAGGTTTTAAAAAATGCAGTATAAAAATGAAAAATGGAAATATGAAGGCTGCTAAGAAATTATTGAGACAGTGTGTTCATTCTTCTTTTAAATGAACTCCTTTCGGTAAAACTTGGCATGTTTAAAAAGTAGATGGCTGTCACCCCAGATGACTTACTCTATCATACAGTTCCAATATAACATGATAAGCCGCTTCGCCAGAACCAAACTGTAGGTCCACAATTCTGTCCATCCCTAACTGGCAAATACTCTCAAGCCGTCTCCCCTTAATGTGCTTTCTCAGCTACATAAAAAAAAACACATACAAATTGTTTTGAAATGTTTACAATGATTTTCTTTACTATTGAAACTATTTACTATTACTATATTTTGAATCAACATTTAACTTTTATCAAATTCACAGTAAAAAAGAAATTACTATAATATTATACCTTCATGGAGAAGCCGGAAGGAGCCATATTTTTGGGCCAGTCATACTCTGTTCCATGTATTCGAATGCCAGATTCAATCAGAATCACTGCTTTATCATCAGGTCTAAATTTATGGACAAATAATAAGTAGGAACCCATATATGGCACCTATACCTTAATCCATATACTATTTTCAATGAGCTAGCTATTAGGGTTTTTATTTAATAAATCAGCTATTCCATATCATAACTATTACAAACACTTTTTGTACTGACACTGAAGTAAAAAAAAAATTTATCCCATTGATGTTGAAGAAATACATTTTAATGAAAATAATTTGATAAAAGCATAAATCAAAAACCATGATTGAAAATGAAATCAGGAAGCCTCCCTATTCCCCGCCCCCTACATCTCAACTCAATCAAGCCTGACACTGAAAAAGTTTAATATCTTTTGACAGTAGAAGATTTTAAAGAATGCTCCTCAGAAAAAGGTGGGTCTTGAGTATATAATTAAAATTTTTTAAAAATTAAGTAACTGATAAAGTAAATATGCTACATCAAGAAAACATTTCAATGGAATGCATATAACAACTTGCTTTCCAAATGCTCATCCTCAAAATCATAATATGTTCAGATCTTTTCTTGATGCGCAGCATATTGATTTTTTTCTCAGATCATCCTCATACTCTTCTGATGAACACTCTTTAAAATATATGGTTATCAAAAGGGTAATAAATATTACAATGTATATGAAATGTCACTTGCAAAAGGTTTCAAATTTAGACCTTTACTTAGCACTTATGGTGACTGAACAGTGAGCAATATTCATTTTGACAAACATGACATGGTGCGCACCTCTGCCTTAAAAGTCTAATCCAAAGACCTACAACTTTAAATAATCATTTCAAAGCACTCGAGAAGGAAGAATTCCTATACCTATAGTCAACATAACTTATCTTTATTGAAGATACAAAATTACAAATCCAAGATATACCGGTATATCTTTCACGGAAAAATTGGGATATTTTATGTATTGTTGACTAATCCTACATATATAATTAAGGTGAGAATAACATAGATGCCTCTAGAGATTAAATATCTGAATTAAGTTTTACACATCGAAAACCCGTAACGCCAGGATATTGAATTTTTAACAATAAATAGGTCAATCAGTTTGTCTTTCTAAAATGCAACACACATGACTTTACACTTACTTTCCAAGTTTAATGAGGTAGGTTTTGGAGTCCACGTCATACACATTAACAACTCTCATGCCATAAAATCTGTAAAGACACAAGCGATATTGTTTTTCAATTAATTATACCAATAATGTGCAGAGCAAAATAATATTGAAGAAATGATGATGTTCCATTTCTCACGGTAATGGGTTCATTCGCCCGATCTACCTGTTTGCGAGAGTCCGTTCGCGCAGAGTCCATTCGCCCGAAATATTTTTCACCCAATATCTTGTTTGCCCTATATGTGGTTCACCCAATACTTATATATACTTGTATATATATAAACTCATGAATTAATAAATAACATATATCATTTTCTCTATTTATTTCCTTTACGAACTTGGGATATTTTTTCCCAAATTCTGATATGAGGAACAATGTTTATTTAATCTTAATTAATTTTTTATTTGATTCTAATGTTTTTTGAATAACTTAGTGTTTGCACTATAGTTAATTAGATGATTAATATGATTAATATCAATGTTAATAAGAGGGATACATCCGTGTTATTTTTACAAATTGCGCTATGTTTTGAAAACAATTAAAAGAAGGAGACGTTAATAGTGAGCGCAGCGAGCTCAATAGACTAACGTGTAAGAACAGAGGAAATTCGGAATGAAATCTGTACATACGTCAGGCAAATTTTTATGTGAAACATTCCCAGAATTCCTTTACTATCCAATGTCCTTTGCGCAAATAAATAAATAAATAATAACGTAAAGAATAAAAGGCTTTCATTTTGTAGAAATCTTTCAAAGAAACAAAAAATAACTCTGCAATGTTTTTCGACCAAAATTGCACTAGGTCTATAGAAACTGTTGTGTGACGTCACAGCTACTGAGCTAGTCGAGGTGTCTTGTGCGGCTTGAAGTTTGAAGTGGCTGATCAATTTTTCAAGTGTTTAGGATGGTACAACTGCGCTCGCCCAAACGGTCACACCGTAAAACATATTAGGCCCATTCAGGGACCTATATACTAACGGGATAGGCAACTCCTTCATTGCCATGTTTATTTACCCAAAACATCACGCACAACACTACAAGTTTTTCAAACTACGTTTAATCCCAGTAAATAGGGTGTTTTCTGATTAATATCATTTATTCCTTTTATGTATTGGAATTGATTTTTAATAAATTTTAAATCATTAATAATAATATAAATTAAATATAAAGAAAACAAACATCGAAATCGGCGATTTCTTGGAAATATGGCCGATCGGGGCATGTGTTGATTTTAAATAAAACAAAATTACTACGAAGATAAGGAGTATAATCCGTGTTAAAAACAAATCTTGAATGATTTTTTGACAGATAATTAAAGGTTTTGATCTATAATACGCGATAGCATTCGAGATATAATTAATTAAAGTTGACTTACGAAATCCCGCGACTTACGAGATATCGCGAGACTTGCGGTAGTTGCCTATCCCGTTAGTATATAGGTCCCTGGCCCATTATAGAACTGAACAGCGGATGTTGAAGGTTTTACCTTTGAAGAATCTCCCTTTGTCTTATCTCAAAAAATGATTTAAAAGAAGATGGAAGATGGAAATTTTGGAAAGAAAATTCTTAGATTTTATTCTACATTAAATCAGGGCGAACGGACCCTGTGCGAACAAGTTTTAGGGCGAGCGGACTCTGGGCGAACGGGAATGAGATATCGGGTGAACAATTTTTAGGGCGAACGAACATGGAACCATTTCTCACTTCATACATTAGAAAAATAAGCTTATACCAATATATTTTTATCATTACCTATATATACATATCATTTATACACCAGACATTAACGTTACAATAAATATAATACTTTTTTAACGTTTATAATGTCAGATTCAGATTACATAATGCTGTCCATGTGAAATGAAACCAACATCTCAGTTTCATAATTCAGACACATCTTTAAAAGCTTAGACCAACCTTTTCAGCTCTTTGATGACAACAGCAATATCAACCGTGCTGAATCTGGACTTCATTTTGATAAGTAATGTTATTAATCACACGTAAACGTAAAAATCTTAGTTTTTCATACTTCGATGAAATATCATGATGTGTTGACATGAAACACTTCCGGTTTGACTAAACTTTGGTCTGTTCTCGGTGTAAAACTCCGGTACTGAAAAAAAATCTTTTATTGAAATGAAATCCAGAATAATGGTCGATATTATTGAGATGTATTTATAATTATGCAGTGATCTTTTGTACAAAATAACCAGAAGTCTCTGTCGAGATTGAAGCTCTAAATATTACAAAGGAAGAGAAAAGGCTTGGGACTAAAAATTTTACAACAGCAATAACTGGAATAATGATCCTTGATTAAGTCTAATTTTTGTGGAAAGATATTGCAATAAGACTTACAACTGTAGGAGTAGATTTTAATAAAATCTTACAGCATTTTCAATTTTAAAATTAAAAAAAAAATAAAGACAATTATGTACATATCTCAGTGTAGTCTACTGTAGGAGGAGTACGTAGCATTTTGAAAATATTTCACAGAAATTTGTAGTAACCAAGGCAACACCGTTCATTGAAATCAAAAAAGGAAACACAGAATTATGAATCTTAGTGTAGTCTACTTGTATGCCAAGTTTATTTATACTGAAATCAGACCAAAACTGTAGGAGGAGTAGCATTTTGAAAGTATTTCACAGAAATTTCAATTTTTTGTAACCACGGCAACACCGTTCATTGAAATCAAAAACAGAAACACAGAATTATGTATCTTAGTGTAGTGTACTTGAGTGTAAAGTTATATTGAAATCATGCAGACTTATACTGTTGGAGGAGTAGCATTTTGAATTTCACAGAAATTTCTATTTTAAGTAACCATGGCAACACCGTTCATCTAAATCAAAGACCAATAAATAGAATTATGTATCTTAATGTAGTGTACTTGTGTGCCAAGTTATACAGAAATCAGACAAAAACTGCAGGAGGAGTATCATTTTGAAAAATTGTTTACAGACAGACGAACGGACGCCGGATGCATTAATTACTATCGCATCAGCTCTTCTGGTCTCTGAGCAGTACAGTTGAAAATGAGAATACACTTATATAAACAAATCTTAAAGTTGTTTTATTTACTTGTCTTTAATTGCTCCCATTTGTCACTTCGTGGGCTAAACAAAACATTATAGTAAGTAAGTAAGTAAGTAATTTATTTATTTATTTTGACATGTGTACAATTAAATTCTTTTGTTTACAGACTGTATAAAATAATCAGACTTAACTCAATATGAGTTAAGTCACGTTATGGAGACAAATAGAGATATGGTCCAGGAAAGATAACTCTCACGGAAAAGGCCGAGTGATGTTCCGATTGGCAAATGCATATAACTGCTTAGCCACATCCATTACGCATGTGCATTTTGCTCTTCCTTTTCCATCTGTTATCAATTGAAGCTCAGCATGTTGCAATGCAGGTATCATTGTATATCATTGAATATCATTGAATATTGTTGCATATCATTGAATATAGTTGTATATCATTGAATGTCATTGAATCATTGAATATCATTGAATATTGTTGTATCATTGAATATCATTGAACTGAATATCATTGAATATTATTGTACCATTGAATATCGTTGCAAATCATTGGATATCGTTGAATATTGTTGCATATCATTGAATATCATTGAATACCATTGAACTATCATTGAATATCATTGTACCCATTTAGTAGCAGTTATTCAATATACACTTTTGGTACATCATTGCATCGATACCTTATGTACATCATTGTATTGATACCTTGAGTACATCATTGTATTGATAATTCATTTTGACTATTAATCAATAAAGCCATGACAAAAACTGCCAATCATTGTTAATCTATTTTGTTGACATAATCAACACCCGGCCCATCGGGCCTATATGCCACTTTAAACACAAAATTGAAATACAATATATAAAGAAAATAAGGAGCACAACGTTAAGAGTATAACAAAAAAGTGCATGAAAAATAAACATAATTGTGATAAATATATATCTATACTTTTTGTATGGTAAGATTGGTTGTGTGTGTTATAAGGATTATTGGTTAATGAAAATGACATTGAAATACATTATTATTTTCTGAACATAAAGGACAGTCTTCGCATAAATAAAAAATACAAGTACTTTGCAACCTGTGTAGGATAATTTGAAATAAGTACACATAGTAAATCCATATCTGACCACCCCATTTGATTAATGCCAGTATTTTCAAAAAGTTTTGATCGATATTCAGAGTATAAAGGACAATGCAGTAAAAAATGAATTTCGTCTTCTACATTATTTCTAAAGCAAAGTGTGCAAATTCGATCCTCAACAGATTCACCATGATATCTACCGGTTTCTATTCGTAAAGGTAAAATGCCACATCTAAACTGTGTAAATATTTAGGCATATCAAGTACTACATAATTTTCCCTACCAAACGTTGTTTTAAAATTAACATAAGTCCGCAGTTTGGGAATGCTTAAAATCTCATTGATCCAAAGGTTTGAGTAATAATTGTGTATTTTTGATTGGACCATATTTATATCTACTATAAGCTTTGACTCGAAATAGTAATCCAGCTCTAGTTGGTGTAATATATCTTTCAAATCACTGCACCAGTTATTCCTACACCTATTGTAATCAACTTCAAATACAATTCTTGTAATTCGATCAATGTCAAAGGATAAAACTCTATTCCAATATCTGATTACATTTATCCAACGTCTATATTGACTTGGAATCCATCCAGTGTCTCCATAACAAAACAGTGAACCCCAATAAAATACCGAATAGCTCTGTTCTGAATATTATCTTTAGGCTGGAATTTTTTGTAACCCCAGACACTGGATGCATAATCCAAAACAGGTATGACACAAGAGTAGAATTAATAGTTTTTCATAAGCATTAAACCTGAAATCTTTATTACTATGAATCGAAGATATAATTTTCCCTAGTGCACGTCCCCCTGCTTTAGCAAGATTTTCTGCATTTTTCATGAAATTACCAGTGTGCGTAAATGTTATACCTAAATACTTATAATTTTCAACTGTTTCTAACTTATTTAGTCCAATAGTGAATTCAAAATTGGCTGCCATTGACCTAGTTTTATTAAGATTTATTGGTGTTTATAAGTACTCTCCAACGTCTACACCAACTATGTAGTTTATTTAACAAACTTTGTAAATCTTCTGGAGACTTGGCTATTAAAGCGATATCATCTGCGTATAATAAGATGGACAATTTTCGATCAACTAGTTCTATGCCTAAATTAAGATTATTAATATCCTGTACCAGATCATTAATGAAAATTGAAAACAAGGTAGGGGATAAATTATCACCCTGTCTAACACCAGTTTTGCTTGTAAACCAATTTGTGAGCTTATTATTCACTCTTACACAAGATTCTGAACTTTGGTAAATATTCTTTATCGAGTTGTAAACTTTACCATCTATATTATGTAACAAAGTTTGTAAAGCATCATATCCCTATCGACAAAATCAAAACATTTTTGAAGGTCAATAAATGCAACATAGAGATTTTTATTGTTTTGGACTAAACTATTCAATGTAAATAAATGATCTTCACACGATCTATACTTCTTAAGTCCATTTTGTTCATCTGCTAAAATATGGTTATTTTCTAAATAGCGTTTATTTTCTAAATTTCTTCATTATATTTGTTGAGTGCATGCCTCTCATACTACATCGTCCCGCCTAGTCCCTAAAGAAATTTTATGTACAAAGATAATTTAATCCCATTTTTATTAATCGTTAAAAATGGTGAATGTTATATATATTTGTTTAACATTTTTAAAATATCTGCTTAATTGACACTAATTCACTAATATAAATGAAAGAAAAAGTGAGCAAGCTCACATACTAGTACCTCACACTCCCAAAAACTCAAAGTGCTGAAAATCCCGAAGAAAATAAAGGAATTGGAATTTCTTGATGCACATCTACATATTCAGTGTCCTAAATATCTGCAAAGTTTGACAAAAATGTGCAGTGTTTATGAGGAGTTGTGCTGACAAACTGTTCATCTCTGTATTCAAGATATGGCCAAAAATCTCAGTTGAAAAGTGCCGAAATTCCCAGAAAAATAAAGGAGTCGGAATTTTCTAGTAATATTGCACATCTACACATTGTGTCCTAAATTTCTGTAAAGTTTGACCAAATTCTGTGCAGCAGCTAAAGAGGAGTTACCCTGCCAAACTGTTCATCTCTTTATTTAAGGTATGGCCAAAAATCTAAGTTGAAGTGTGCTGAAAATCCCGGAAAAAATAAATTAAGGAATCGGAATTTCCTAAAAAATGCATTTCTACACACTGTGTACTAAATATCTGCAAAGTTTGACAAAATTCTGTTCAGCGGTTTATGAGGAGTTGCGTTTACAAAGTGTTCATCTCTATATTCAAGATTTGGCCAAAAATCTCAGTTGAAAAGTGCCGAAATTCCCAGAAACAATAAAGGAATCGGAATTTCCTGGTAATTTGCACATCTACACATTGTGTTCTAAATATGTACAAACTTTGACCAAATTTTGTGCAGCGGTTCATGAGGAGTTGCCCTGACGAAAAAAAATAGGACTAACGGACTGACTGACACACTGACTGACTGACTGACCGACGGACGCGGGTCAAAAACATTACATCTCCCGCAACTTGTTGCGTGGGGTATAATTACAATAAATTAAATAAATAATTATTACCATAATAGGTGAATGTCATAGGGCAAAACTTTTTATAAACAGAAAACAAATTGATAAATTGATTGCCATACGGGGGTGCAATTTCAAAAATCTGCTAAAAATTACAATTGCTTTTTCAATTTTTTAATGCTATGTTTGCCTCTTAAATGTTCAGGAACAGAGAATACAAAAATATATATACATGTACAAAAAGAATATTTTTGAAGAAATACGTACATTATCATTATAATCCAACAGAGCCCCTGTCCAAGGGACCAATTACGAAACACACAATTTGATTTGAAAAAAAACCCTTGTTCATTATAATTAGTAGGTATGTGGGTGGTAAATAAACCCATGGACAGAGAAGATTTTTCCCCCATAAGAAATCAGGTTATATCGTTTAA